GCCCACTATTTTTTGTCATAACAGCCGTAGTCAGCGTTTCGTGGACGCGAAACAAAGCGACGCAGCCGTAAAACATTGTTTTACAGCAGAAATGACAAAAGCCTTTATTAACAATAATCGATTTTCCAATCGGAACTAAAACTGCGGAAAATTGTCCTAGTTGACGGTGTCAGCATAAACTTGGCATTTTTTAATATTTCCATGGTTTTTTAAAAATACGAAAATATCATAATCAGTTCGCCTACTGTGTCATTTCAACTATTCAGTAATTGTCCCATGTTTCTGTCTTGGAGGCGATGAGATTCACGTCGACTTGGCGCCATTTTTTCACAAAATTTTTTTGTGATTTTTTAAATTTAATATTTGAAGAATACCAGGTCAAATTAATTTATTTTGGTGATATGATAATCTCCAGATGTCGTGATATCTGAAAACTGCCAATCATATAGACAGGTAATTATCCAATCAATTGTGGTCATACTTATGGTGAGAGTTATCGCAACACGTGGTGAGTAAAATTTTCAATCATTTACAATAATGAGGACTAATAATTGAAATAATAAACTAACAGTAACCACAATACTAATAATATTCAATATCATTGCCCTATTACTTTCATCTATTTCCTATTTGACAGCTCAGGATTTTGATGGGGCGAAAGCCTCAGCAAAATCTCCTTACAATTTTTATCATCATAACAATGATATGAATGAAATTAATCCCTACTGTTCGCTAGAATATATTTTTTTGTGAATGTTCCAGCCTACAACAACGAAAGAGTTAGATGGTGAGTAGATACGCCAAAGTCTATGCATTTACAGTTGCATTTTTTCCTTATAATTTTTTTTCCATACGTTTTCCAGATAAGATGGACGCTGACTCTCTAAGGCAATATCTGGAGGAGCAGCACCAGTGGCAGCGAACTCTCCAGGAGCAGATGGAGAGGCAGCAACAACAGCTGAATCGTATAGAGGAGCAACAACAACAACATCATCATCATCAACAACAACAACCACAACAACAACCACAGCAACATCATCATCAACAACAACAACCACCACAACAACCACAACAACAATCACAACAACCAGAACAACAACAACAACAGCAGCCACGACAGTCTTTACTGCAATTTATGATGCACCAGCCACCAGGTTCTGACGAGGAGTTGATGGAAATGGTTGCTTGGTGGATCAACAATGGTGGTTCATTAGAAGAAGGTTTGTGACAGTTTTTCCTTCTTTTTAATTAATTTTTCTCCACTCCATTTTTCTTATACTAGCGTATATGGCGCGCTATGCGCGCCCCTCTTACGCATATGGATGTTATCGTATATTTTTGAAAAATTTCAATATACATATATAAATATATATCTAAGTTAAAAAATACGAAACCACGAAAGACTTCATGAAACTTTTCACGAAATCAACCATGAAATCCTCAACGAAATCCACAACGAAATCCACCCCCAAATCCACCTTGGGAATTTTGTCGACATTACGGAAAAAGTTTTCCACACTTTAAGAAATTAATTTATAAAATTTTTTTATTTATTCAAATTTCTAAAATTATATTAAAATAGAATAGAAAAATATTTAAAGCATAATATATATATTATACCATGTTTTTTATAATATATTTATAATATATATTGTGACCTTGACCGGAGGATTAAATATATTAATCCCCGGTGAAGCCACGATAATAGGGAATCAAATGATAGTTTACGAATTTTAAAGGTTGTATTTTAAGAAGTTACTCGGGGAGGGACCTGAAATGAGAAAGGGGGAGGGATGTAAATAATTTCTCGGGCGGGATGTTATATAGAAACTGTAAATTATAATAATTACTCGATTGAAGAATATAAACACATTGATAAAGTAAATCACGGCCTTCTCTTAATAATTAATCAAGGGTGGGGGTTAAGGCCAGCACACTTGCGACACACAGGAAATTAATAAGAATAATAAGTTGGTTAACAGGGGGGGAAGTTAGTAAATATATCAGAGGGGGAAGAAGTGAGGGGACCTATCGTGTAAAATACTTATGATCTAACGCGGGTAATAATCCAAAACGAACACTGATTCCAACTTGAGATAATTCGATAATTAAATAATTGAATACTTAAACGGAGGCTCACCGTTGGGGGGTGGGTTTAAATATTGGGGCAAGGTGAATCTCGTTGGGGCAGGGAAATATCAATCGGGAGGTACTCACGATGATGGCAGCAACAGGGGATCCCCCACACACAAAAATCCTCCACGAGCGAAATCCTCCACAGGAACTCTCCGCGGGAAACTCCTCAACGGCCACGAGTCCTCCGCGCCAAACAAAATTCTCCACAGCAAATCTTCCACGCAGCTCACACTCCTGGACACTTGGCCGCGCAAATCCTTCACCAAAAATATCCCCACGAAAAATATCCTCCAACCAATAAATCCTCCCGCAATCTCTCTCCAAGAACAGGAATTCCCTTCCACACCTCTTCTCAACAATACTCCGACTCAAAACTCTCCAAACAACTCTCTCAAAAAAATTCTCCCCTCAAAACGTAATCTATCCTCAGGGGCAGCTGTACAACGAGTAATGGCTTCCCCATACTCGTTGGTCTTCTTCCCCGAGTATCGGTGATAATCGGGGTCAATCGGGGACACTCGTCATTGAGTGTCCTCGTCCTAATTATTATTTAGCGGGGCTGGATCACGGGTGTCTTCTCCGTCTGGGGTCACGTGGGCTGTGACGTAGCGATGAGGGGTTTTCTTCCTCATCCGTCACGTTCTCCTCCCTCTATAATTAGGGAAGGGGTTTCCCAACGGTGACAGTTTTCTTAACCTAGTCTTAACTTAATCTTAACCTAAAGACAAAACAGTTTAGTTATTAGGGGGCAGGGGAGGGCTGAAAAATATATTGCCTCGTCACAATATATAGTATTTTTTAAATATTTTGTTATTATATATAAATATTATTTTATTTTTAAAAATACATATATTTTGATATGCACAGTTTAGCCATGCGCCGAAAAAAGCTGACAAAAAAAGTTACATGCTTTTTTTTTTTAAAGGGATATCGATATATCGATGTGTCGATATAGATTTGAAAAATGAACTTGAACTTATCTCTTTTTACCACTTCGCTGCAGAATTATCCTTTTAACATTTCATTGATTAACTTAGCGTAAATCAATCTGATGAACAAATGAGTAAAATTGATATTTATAATAAAAAAATAAAACAAAAAAACAAAATGGAAATAAAAGAGACAAAAAGCCGCTCATATACCATACCCATTCAGAAGTATGTTGCTAATTTATTAGCAAAAACATATGCAATAATGGATAAAGTAGAAGAGCAATACGCACTTGTTTTCAATACATTCATCAAAATTGTTTTGATTCCCTCCATCCTCCCGAATTGAATTCTTATACTTTTCACTTTTCTTCCAGTCTCTTCATAAACTGGAAGCAATTTCTCACTTCAGTCTTATTTCGTTCTTTTCCATTTTTAATGTATTTGATATTTTCTATTAATTGCAGGTCGTGGTAAATCTGGGGGCCAGTCCCGGAGGCTATGGGGGAGCAGACGTGGCAGAGGCCGCGGTAGAGGCCGTGGTGGAGGCGATGGCAGAGGCGTCGGGAGAGGCGGCGGTAGAGGTGGTGGTAGAGGCGGTGGTAGAGGCGGTGGTAGAGGCGGTGGTAGAGGCGGTGGTAGAGGCGGTGGTAGAGGCGGTGGTAGAGGCGGTGGTAGAGG